CTTAGCCTAATCAAATTAATCAGTTCAGGTTCTCCAAAGACAAATCAAATAAATACTTGCTTCATTGCACTAACTATGGCTATAATGGCCATATGATTGATAAATGCTTTCAGTTACATGGTTATCCCCCTGGATGGACTGGACCAAAGGGAAAGAGGAATCCTCCCTCTGCACACGCAGCCATGTCAACTAAAGAGGTTTGCATTCAAGGTAGTAATGAGAATCAAAGGTTCAGTTTAACTGTGAAGAGTTTAATAAACTTATAGCACTTGCCAATTCAAGTTCCATTCCAAAAACTAGTATACCCACAGCAGCAGCAGCAAAAGTAGCAACCACTTCTCATTTTTTTGGTAAACCTTTTAATCAATGTAATTTTACCTCTACCAGGTTATATTCTGAATTTTCTTGGATATTAGATACTGGTGTAACAGATCATATGATATGTTCACCTCTATTGTACTCTTCTACTCCTAAACCAATATCAACTTTCATTAACCTTCCTAATAGATAAACTGTTCTAGCAATATATACTGGAACAGTAAGTCTCTCCGGCACACTACATTTAAATAATGTCTTATGTGTTCCTGACTTTTCTTTCAACCTATTATCTGTTTCAAAAATAACTAAAGAATCTAATCTTTGTCTATCTTTCTTTGGATCTTGTTGCCTTTTACAGGACCAATCGATGAAGAGGATGATTGGGATTGCATTTGAAAAATAAGGACTCTATCACGTCTCTTAAGCTCCTTCCAAAGTTGCTTCCTGTCAGCAACACCAATCTACTCATTCCTGCCAGTAAAATCAATCTGCCTTTACACCAATCCTTGGTTTAGCCACTTCTCAAAACCTTTAGCACTACAGATTAGGTCATGTCTCAAATTCTAAAATTCATTTCTTTAGAAAAATAGACAATTCAATAACATTTGATTGTGCAAATGTCAGTGAAATCTGCTCTCTAGCAAAGCAAAAACGACTAACTTTCCCCGTTTCACAAAGTGTTTCTAATAAAAGGTTTGATTTGATTCATTGTGACATATGGGATCTCTTTTCCTCAATATCATACTCTGGTTTTAAATTCTTCCTTACCATAGTAGATGATTTTACAAAATGAACTAGGGTAAATAAGCTCAAAAACAAATCTGAGGCATCTTTATTGCTGTAAAACATCAGTAAAANATTCTGCAATTTAACATGGTATCAGAGCAGAATACCATACATGCTTCCGTACCTTTTTTCTTTTTCGGATCGGTACTCATTCTACCTCACCGGATATCCCAACACTCACCGAATTAAGAAGTAACTTACCGGATCTGTACTCACCGGATATTCTAACACTCACCGAATTGAGCCTAAGTAACTCACCGAATTCTGCACTCACTGGATATCATTAACACTCAGCGAATATTCTAACACTCACCGAATTGAGCCTAAGTAACTCACCGAATTCTGCACCCATCGAATATCCTTAACACTCATCAAATATCCTTAATACACACCAGTTTGAGCTGCACTTACCGGATTGATACAATCTGCTCAAGATTTTTATCTCGAATCTCAAACCCCTATCAATTTTTTTCTCTTCTTCTTGATACAGTGGCAGAAACAAATCATCTCAATCCTTCAGATGATTCATCTAGCCCATATTGTCTCCATCGTAGTGATAGACAAAGAATCTAATCTTTGTCTATCTTTCTTTAGATCTTGTTGCCTTTTACAGGACCAATCAATGAAGAGGATGATTGGGATTGCATTTGAAAAATAAGGACTCTATCACGTCTCTTAAGCTCCTTCCAAAGTTGCTTCCTGTCAGCAACACCAATCTACTCATTCCTGCCAGTGAAATCAATCTGCCTTTACACCAATCCTTGCTTTAGCCACTTCTCAAAACCTTTAGCACTACAGATTAGGTCATGTCTCAAATTCTAAAATTCATTTCCTTAGAAAAATAGACAATTCAATAACATTTGATTGTGCAAATGTCAGTGAAATCTGCCCTCTAGCAAAGCAAAAACGACTAACTTTTCCCGTTTCACAAAGTTTTTCTAATAAAAGGTTTGATTTGATTCATTGTGACATATGGGGTCTCTTTTCCTCAATATCATACTCTGGTTTTAAATTCTTCATTACCATAGTAGATGATTTTACAAGATGCACTTGGGTATATATGCTCAAAAATAAATCTAAGGTGTCTTTCTTGCTGCCAAACTTCTGTAAAATGGTAACCACTCAGTTTAACACTCATGTTAAAACCATAAGAACATACAATGGTTCAAAATTTACTCTTAAAAAGTTTTACACTGAACATGAAATTTTACATCAAAGGAATTGTGTTGAAACCCCACAACAAAATGGGGTTGTTGAAAGAAAACACCAACTCCTACTAAATACAACCAGAAGCTTGATGTTTCAAGCAAATTTACCTCTAACCTTTTGGAGTGATTGTGTACTAACTGTAGCACATATCATAAATCAAATTCCAACCCCTCTTCTTCAGAACAAAATTCCTTTTGAGATGTTATTTCACAAACCACCTAATCTTTCTAATTTAAAGGTCTTTGGATGCTTATGCTTTGGATCTACTATCACTAGCCACAGACAAAAGTCTGATCCAAGAGCAACTAAGTGCCTATTTTTAGGATATTCATCTGACGCCAAAGGTTACAAACTCATGGAGCTGAGCACAAACAAGGTCATCATTTCCAAAAATGTTATCTTCCATGAAATCAACTTTCCATTCAAGCAGCTTCCTTTTCATTCTGAAATACCAAATTTTCTATTTCCTCCTACAAAATTTTCACATGAAGCCTCTCTCTCAAATAACCCTATATCTTCCTTAGGTCCTATACCTTCTGACCAAAATACTCATTCACAAGAACCCTCAAATTCCTCACAACTCAACAAGCACTATCATACTTATGCTGTAAATTCCATTCCTATTGATTCAACATATCCCATTACCACTGATTCTCACATCAGAAAATCGACAAAACCTAAACAACCACCAAAATTTCTACAGAATTACTATTGTGGCAATGTCTCCTTGTTTACTTTTGCAAACAACTCATCTGCTTCCATTGATTGTTCTTCTAACACAAGTAACTTCTATCCTATATCAATTTTTCTTTCTGTCAATAGACTTTCAGCACCTCACAAATCCTTGTTAGCTTCCATTTCTCTTACAAAAGAACCCAAAACATATAAACAAGCTGCAAAAATACATTAATGGAAAGTTGCTATGAGGAATGAAATAAATGCTTTAGAGTTAAAACAAAACCTGGAAAGTTGTTACTCTTCCTAAAGATAAGCAGCCTATAGGTTGCAAATGGGTTTTTTGAGTAAAATACAAGGCTGATGGAACTATATAAAGACATAAAGCAAGGTTGGTGGCTAAAGGTTACACCCAACAAGAAGGATTGGACTTCTTTGATACTTTCTCCCCAGTGGCAAAAATCACTTCAATTCATTTACTGCTGGTTGTAGCTGCTTTCAGGGGCTGGTATATTCACCAATTAGATGTAAATAATACATTTTTACATGGTGAATTGCATGAAGAAGTTTATATGGAAGTGCCTCCTGGTTTGGAAGTTAAACAACCCAATATGTTTGCAAACTCCTAAAAAATCTCTATGGTTTGAAAATGCCTCTTGACAATGGTTCGCAAAACTTTCCCAAGCTTTTCGGATTTACTCAAGGCAATTCCGATTGCTCACTTTTCATTAAGAAAACTACATCCTCTTTCATCGCACTACTTATATATAAAGATGATGTTTTAGTGGCTAGTGATAATTTAACTGAAATACAGCAACATAAGATTTTTATATATGATATGTTTACAATCAAGGACTTGGGACAGTTGAAGCACTTCCAAGGATTGGAAGTGGCCAGATCAAAGTCTGGAATTTCAATTTGCCAAAGAAAGTATGCTTTGGACATACTTGAGGATGCAGGTCTTACAGGTTCTAAACCAGTTGCATTCCCAATAGAATCCGACCTTAAACTCAATGCAGAAGATTCAGATCTTTATGAGGATACCCCAGGTTACAAAAGTTTGATTGGTAGATTATTGGATCAAAGTCTGGAATTTCAATTTGCCAAAGAAAGTATGCTTTGGACATACTTGAGGATGCAGGTCTTACAGGTTCTAAACTAGTTGCATTCCCAATGGAATCCAACCTTAAACTCAATGCAAAATATTCAAATCTTTATGAGGATACCCCAGGTTACAGAAGGTTGATTGGTAGATTATTGTATTTGACAATTACAAGGCCTGACTTGGCTTATTTTGTTCAGGTTCTTAGCCAGTTTCTCGATAAACCTATAGTAGCTCATTATCAAGCTGCAATACATGTGCTCAAATACTTAAAGGCAACACCAGGTCAAGGGTTATTCTTCTCATCTTCCTCAGACTTAAAGTTGAAGGCCTTTTCTGATAGTGATTGGGCAGGCTGCATCATACCAGAAGAAGTGTTACAAGTCATGCAATTTTTTTAGGAGACTCATTAATCTCTTGGAAATCAAAGAAAAAAGCCACAATTAGCCGATCATCTGCAGAAGCCTAATACAGAGCTCTTGCAGCCACCACATGTGAAGTCCAATGGTTGCTCTATGCTCTTCAAGATCTTAACGTTGATCATTCTCAACCAACTATGCTTTACACTGACAGCAAGTCCACTTTATCCATTGCAACCAATCCTATACAACATGAAAGGACCAAACATATTCAAATATATTGTTATCTTGTTAGAGAAAAACTGCAGCAAAATGTAATCAAACTCTTTTACATCCCCTCAAGGTTACAACTAGCAGACATATTTACAAAATCTCTCAGATCACTGGAGTTAATGAGAAAGGAAGAAAAAGCAAAGACGTTTGAAGTTAGTTCAAGTTAGTTAGAGGAGTTAGTTAATTTCTATTGTTTTTGTTATTCAATCTGTTGAGCTCCTTCTATAAATAGAGCTCGAGTTCCTGTAAATCAATTAATTGAGTTCTTCAATTCAGCTTCAGTTATGTTCCTTCTTTCCTCCCTTTCTCTGCATTTTCTCTAGTTTAATTCTGCAATTTAACAATATTTTCACTTCCAAATGCTAGAAAAACGTCAAATTCCTTAAAGTTTTTATTAAGTTCTTTTGGAAGAATAGCTTGTGCTTTAATATTTCTTTCTTAAAGGTTTGTCAAATCCTCTAAACTATTAGTCGAAAATCCTGAAGCATACAAAAGGAGACAAATATCTTTTATAGAACGACGTATCATATACATGTTCGGGCCTCATTCTTTACTTCACTTTTGTTCGTGTTTCCATCTCCTTCTTGTCCTCTTCAATTTTTTTGAACACCTCTTTGACCACCTATATGTTACATGCACACTCGGACACACTGTTAGAGGCAAAGATCACCACTCTAGGAAAAAAGGACGGTGATTGAATGCATTCTGACGACAATTGTTGAAAAATAATGATATGGGAGAAAATGGGTTGGGAGAGACAGCATACAGATTGTGGCTAGGATTTTAGTTACACAAGAAGGGCCACTGATAAATGTATTCCCCAACTCATCATAAAGCCTTAACTAGGACAAAGCCCAAGAAAAGTTTTCGCACTATATTCGACCCAATTCGATTGGCACAACCAATGCCTAGTCAAAGCTCAGCCAAATAATGTAGGGCATGTCTCGCCACTTGTATGCCTCATAAAATTTAAGTATGATAACAGTTCTACGAGTCAGAGTTGTACATTTGCATATAGCATCGAACTTTAATGAAAAATAAAAGAGCAAGCTAGATTGCCTCTGGTTTTATAAGTCTCATAATGAATATTTGAACGCATGTGCCTATGCAAGTCGTCTTTTATTATAACAATTATTTAGGGTCAAACTTCTAATGAAACATTCTTATAGATTTTATTTACAACTCAATAATATTGTTTATTTTATTTTCTAAAAATAAAAATAAAATCACATATAAATATGGATAAGGAACTATTCATAAAAATGGATAAGGAAATATAAATTTGTATATATTAATATAATTTTTGCTAAGTCAGCATGCTAATGAAGCTTTGCATTTAGATGAACTTCTAAATATCGCCTATCGTGCTGTGTGGCCTTTTTTTTTCACAATCAACAAAAGCAATAGAGATGATCTTAGAGGGATACGAGTTTTTGTCATTGTTATAAGAATTAAACTAGACTGATTGGTGAAATTTCAAACCAATTCTAGTTGGATCCACAACCCTTTTATCTTGTCCATTTCTAGGTCACACACCATTGGAAGCCCATAACAATTGGCTGTGTCAGACCCAAAAAATGAGCAGTTCAAGAAGAATGAGGTCCATTTTGGAATTTTCAAGCAAAATCAATCTCCTGTTCAGTTCGATTACAAAAATGAATTAAAACTTAAATCCAAGTCAATAATCAAATTTAAATATATATTTGGGTAAATTGCGCAAAACGTTCCTACCTTTCACATTTTTTTGCGCTGAACATCCTTTTCACCAATTTTTAACATAAAATGACTATTATACTCTCCTACATAAATAAAACAAAAAAGAAAAGAAAAGAAAAATAAAGAATAAATTGCAATATGCTCCTAAACTTTTTTTAAAATGCAAATCAGTTCAAGATAATTGCAAGAAAATGGCTCAATTTATCATAATTGCACCCAAGCCCCCGTCTCCACCCAAAAATTGAAAACCCTAGCTTTTCCTCAACACCCCCAGAAAACTGCTCTTCCACACCACCTCCTTCGCAAGCTACTAATTTCATTACAGAATCACCATTAGCATGACACCTCTGATGGGCTTCCATTAAGCTTGAACAAAGAACCTGTTCAATCCAGTGGTCAACTGCATTCTCCCTGTCAGCCGCAAGTATTTGAACCATCACTGAACGTGTTTGCTTGCTTAACTCCTTAGCAATGTAACCAACAATGATCTTCCTCCCAAACTTCAAATCAAAATATTTTGAATCATGATGATCGAAGACAGAGTTACAAGCTCTAATCTCAAATTGAGTTCCCAAGTCCACAGATAGCAAGTGTTCTTTTCTGCCAAATATTGTCTCAGCAAATGATGCAGCAAATTTTCGCTTCCCCACTTTATCAGGTCCCAGAAAACTGAGCCAAACATTTCTTTTGTCTGAGCCATGACCAATCCCATTTCCAGTTCTCCATCGGGACACAGTTTGACAAATAGTTCGAACAGCTTCAATCTGCCGGTGTACATTTTCGGCAAGAACTTTCCATGGGTACTCTAGGTCTTTTCCATCAATTGGCTTTTCCAGTTGACCATAAGAACAGGACGATGATCGGGTAACTTTATGGGAGGCATTTTCGTTAGTTCCAGATGAACCAGAGAAGTACTGAATGCGATTGTAATTCTCTTGAGGGTTGAAGTTTCTACGTTCTTCCACAGCACATGAATAAAGCGTTCCCAGCAGAGCCTGCAAAATCGCGGCTGCTGCCCGGAGGCGCCGTTGATGCATCACGGCGCTTGGTGCTATTGTTGACGGGGTTCTTGTAAAAATAACCCAGTTCCATAATTCCATTTTGACTTTTTTA